CCCCCCCCACCCCTTGTCTGTTTCCAACATGTCTCTGCCCCTAATGCATCTTCATAAAGGAACAATAGAAAATTTGTGAATTTGGAAATATTTCTCAAAACAATGTTGGTACTTGCTGATCTATGTAATCCGGTTTGGTAGAAGCGTGTCTCGGTTAAGCAAAGATCAATACTAGATGGTCTTCTTACCCCCCTATCTAGGGCCCCACCCGCAACCTCATCACGTCCTTCGCAGAAATCAATAAACAATTGTCTCGTCACCCCTTCTCTAACTCCCTATTTACTCCACCATGCTTCCCCAGAAAACGTGTTAAATGTTTAAATGAACCTCCACGACTGGAGAGCGATTTGCTATGAAAGGCGACACAGAGCGAGACCTCTGCTCGCCACTTATTAGTCAAATTAACAAATTGCTCAAAGCAAACGTTTACGAGCGAGTCGGCAGCTATAAACTATCAGGCAAAGCATTAAAATATTTCAGATCTTAGAATGGAAAGCAAAACTACGTTTAAAATTAATATCTTTCCAAGCCAAATTCCTGAGTGTTACATGTGTATAAATTTAATATCACGCAGGGTGGACTAAGATAGGGACGTCGGTGAGGCTTTTCTTTCACAGCCAAATCACATTTTCTTTGAAATTCATTTGAAATAGATGTCACATATTTTCTCAAAATTTTATCCGATCTGTTTAGAATTTCGGTGCACCCTCCCTTTTAAAAATCCTGAGTCCCTGATCATGACTGACAATGGTATATACAAATGTTTACCATTAATATTTTTCTGATATTGTTCTATTTCCATTGGTGCATCTTTTAATAAGAATGGTGATGTATTTATTTTAGCTATAATAAAGATACAGTACAGGTCCTTCCTGCACATATACAGTTTAAGATGTTATTATCAAACTTTAGATCATTCTGTAGTTCTTCTCCATATTCTCTGAACTATTTCTCGCCAATATTTTTATGAACAGCAGACGGTGGTTGTAAGCCTTATCTTTGCGATCGCCTATTACAGAATTAAGGACAGCCACTTGCATATTTTACTCCAATATCACAGCTTCCCCATAAAAATAAATTCTTAGAAATCGAGGTCCATAACCAGCCCTTACACATCGTTCTTATCTGTAGAACTCTTTTATTGATTAATACTACGTCTCAATACTTTATACAAACAACTTCCATATTTATTTATCAATTCGAAAATCTCACAATTTATAGAGTAAAATGCCATTAGCTTGTAATGTTGCGTGTGCTTTCAGACATCATACTGGTCCCTAGTTAGACCAGCCTTCGTTAGTCAGAGGCCAGTACATAACTTCATTTCGCATCGACTAATTATAAAAAAAAAATGAAGAGAAAAGCCTTGAAGTTAGTTATACACGAGTTTAGAAAACACAGCTAAGACATGTTTTTAACTTGATGTTTTTTTTAAGAAAAAAATATTCTAACGATGTTAATTTGTCAAATCTCGAGTTTTTTTCTCTCTATCCGTGTAAATTGCTAATTTTGCTAGTCGGATAAGAGATAAAAAGCGGTTTAACACCTCGTCTAATTAATCACATCAGGGTCATCCGAAAGTTTTAAGGACGACTCTCTGCGATAAAATTTGACTGCTTTATACGTCAGCTGACTGCGGGAGTGATCCCAGATAAACAGTAAATACCTTACAAGGGTCGGACCACATAATCAAATTCCCGATAAAAAATCTTTAATTAAATAATGAATAGGTACCAGCATTGAAATTCATTATCGAGTACGCTTCATAAAGATTGTTCCCAAAAAATATGACCGATCATTTTCAGTTAAAACTTCACAGATCATAAGATAATTTTTAGTTAAAACTTCACAGAAAATACTATAAGTATTAAACATTTTACACTAATTAAATTAAAAATATAGCTGGCAAAAATGGTTCACTGCTGTTACGTAAAGAATTTGAAAAATTGAACTCAAAGTTGTAATAATGGTACAGAGGCTAGCTAGTGTAGCAGGCTTGTCGAACTTTGTGATCTTAGCATCGCTAGTGTGTAGCAACGCTAGTCGAAGACAATCAGCCATTCTCTGTAATAGGCCGGGACAGGCAATGACTTCAAATTAATGGGACAATTACGTTTTTTTTCAGATTGTTACAATAACGTATTTTATAACAAGATTTTACTACTTTTTGAATCCACATGCAAATAGGTTTCAAAATGGAGCCCCTGGAAATGGTAAATATTGATACCGTCAGTAATAGACACAGGACATCGACTTTAAACAACTTTGTAAGATTTTAATATAAATGGCTGTAACTTTGAATAAGAAATAACTTTGTCATTAATCTCCTATCTTAACTTCACCTCAAATTTAAATCAAATCATTTTAAAAATAGATAAATAATCTCGATGAGTTTCCATTAAAATGTCTTGTAACGATCTGTGTACTTTCTAGCAATCCCCACAGCATCATTCGTCATCCCCTCTCAGCTTCCGACAGTGGTCCAGCGCAAAACATATCTATGTATAACTCAGGAATATCTATTTAATAAACAACCTAGTACCGTTATACAGCAGACGAGAGTTTCGGCCGTGTCGGACCCGAGGAAATACAGCCTCTTTACAACATTCCCTGGCAAGTAAGTTACTGTCAGAATCATTCAATTCACTTAGATTTGTAAATCTTGCCCCAGATAGCAAAAGATAAAGATACTTGTATTTCAAAGGACTGCAGATAACACATCCTTCTCCGGGAAGAAAGGAGGCGCAGGTTTTTTTCTCTCGTCAAAAACAAACCTGCGTAACCTCCTTGGATCTGATCTGTCCCTCCATCAATATATCTGACCGTACCAACGATACAGGCTCGACAGTCATACAGTTTTAATCCTCATATATTTATCACAAATAGCCTCTCTCGTCCATAATACTTACTTGATTTTATCACATCTGCTCATAGACCGACGTCCATATAAATCCCACTGGAAGTTATCAAACGAAGTTATAATCCGTTATAAGTAATATTTCCTATTAGCATCCAACAATAACTCTCCCAAATGAAAATCGCTGGCACGTGAATACGCGTAACCTTTCCTCTTTGAAATCAAACAAATCCTTTCTTCACTTAGAATGGTCAACAGCTTTTAAATCACAATACACTTTGGTCCAGATTGTGTCGAGATACTGTCCCCCTCACAATTTGTAAATAAACTTTTTCCACATGGATAAGACGTATCTCAATAGTCGTGTGTGTAACACATGTATCCCGCGTACACTTTCAGAGGAATGGTCGAGGTTAATGGTTCCTAGAATATTGTACTAATCCAGATAAATGTATCACTTTTAAACGTCTTTATATATAATACTGTAAACAATGTATTTCTGCAATGTATACACTGTATCGCCTTGTACTAATACATTGTATGTTGCTCTTACACTGTATCCGTATAGTAGCGCCACACTGTAATGCTCGGCTGTATTATCAGGCTACAGGCATCTCGCTAAGACAGCATCACAGTACTCGGTAGCCAGTCCGTTAGCGACTTGGAGGTGCTATAATCCTGGTATGTGACGGGTACTGTCTAGCACTAGTACACAGTACTGTGTATTCCTAACGTTTCTCTGTGTACTATTTCACAGCCGGCAATCTACATTGCTGACAGTTCACGAGCGAGCCGCTTGTCAGCCACCAAGTGTAACGGCTTCTCTGGGTGCTGATTGGTCGAGGGAGGCGCGGCCTAGCTCGCTCCGACAAGGCAGTCTGGCCCTGGCTCATCTGTGTAAACACACTACGCCCCGCCCACTTGAGGGTGGAGCTAGGTTATGGACACCTGTGAGTGACACATTTTGCAGTTGTATCGATTTTGAAAAGCACAGGCACATGTCTGGCCCCGCTATCGTTGCCAGAGTCCAGTGGAGCTAAATCCCCAGGGAGCTGGAGGCTGCCCCAGGGGCTCTGTTACCCAACCTCGTCTTTGACAAATTTGATGATAAATTTTATATGTTATTGACTATGTGCACACACAGCCATAAATAAGTAAAATAATGTCTTGCAACATGATAAAAAAATGTCTTGCAACATGATAAAAAAAATCTACACCACCCACCATTTATCAAGGTGCAAGACATGAAATAATCCCGAGATTTTTCTGCATAGATATATTTTTTTTTAAATCTTTACATCAAAACTGATAAACTATCAGTGGGTACAAGAATTGTAAAAAAAATTCTAGTAAGAATATTTGTTAGTCTATTAAAACAATGAATAAGAGTTAAATTTTATTTATGACAGAAATGTTTGTTTGTATTAGATAAGAAATGTAAGTGTTATCGTAGTACATAACTGCATAAACTTCTAACCTGAATATAATCTAGAAAACCAGATAAATTCACGGGGAAATCAATCAGTTTAGACATATTTGATTACAGACCATCTTCCACACACACCTAAACCATCTCAACTCTCTCTGATAAGGTATCTGTTCTATAAATAACTCCGTGTTTACCTGTATATAGGGGGGAGATACCTTCATTGTACAGATAATCCCTACCTCTGATTTACTGAAACCGCCTAACGGTTCCCTCATGTTCCATTCACAGGCTGAGGGATCAGAAAAGTTTCCCTTCTGCAATATCAGGTAAGATAAGGTAATAGCCCACCTGAGACAGTGATTAGCTCACCTGTATACACTAATTAACTCACCTGTATGTTGAGCTACCTATTTACAACTGACCACATAGTGACCCTACCCTTATCTGATCTCCCTGCCTGTAGACAAGAGATTAGGGACTTATCTCACCTGTTTAAAACCCTGTTTACTCAATTTCATACCTGTCCGTTAATTGCAAGTAAGGTTTCTCCAACAGGAGTTTAGGGGTTCAGCTTCACACCTAAAGACCAGGGCTGCCGAGGTACCTGTGTGCATGCTTGTGTATTGCGTAGATACCAAATTTCCATCGAAACATTTTGTCAAAAATTGACTTATTTTACCTTGATTTTCCAGGATTACTCACATTAGAGTTTAATCCCAATATACAAACCTATAGTAAATCTCTCTGTATCAAAGGTAATACCTGTGCACTCGTTTACTCACTTGTGTACCTTGGCACCTGTTAATTACAGGTAAGAAATTTCCCATGCTTTTTTCCCCTTTTCAAATGAGATTTGATGTATTGTGAGTGATTTAGTGCATAATTTTTGTTCCTTTCAAAACAATTTTCCCGGATATGAAAAAATAATAAGGTGACATCAGTTTTGTGTATAAACATTTAATTTGTCATCAAAAGAATTGCATAATTACACTTCCATTACTGATATTCGTATTTATTTTTTTCATTCAAAATTTTTGTATTGATCTCAAATTTACCTTACAAATTTTTTGATCATGTAACATTGGTTTAACTCGACTGTCACTTTTTGAACCATTGGAATATTTGAATTCAATTTGCTAGAAAACTTATTTCAATAAACTAGTATATACAAATTTTACCTCGCTGAAATATTTAGATTTGAATCGATGAAATATTCAAATCTAAATCATGAAAATATTTAAATTTTATTCTCCGGAATATTCTACATGTATTTCACAGAAATATGTAAATTTGACTTCTATGGAATATATTATTTGTTGGAATATTTAAAATATTGTACAAGGTACCTATGTTAACCCTTTCAGCACTGTAGACCATAATGAATTCATCTGGATCAATGCATGGTAGAGTCTACTTAAGTTACATAGGGGTGAAAGGGTTAATGGTATATTATCAAGACACTTCATATCCAATCAAAATCAAAGGGGACTCAGACATATTGTTACCTGGGAATTGTTGAAGTACAAAAGATATTTTACTAATTACAGGTAAACAAAGGACTGATGACAGGTAAGCACACAACTGATTGCAGGTAAACAAATACACACCTGTAAACAACAAAAACAAATGTAGCTGTCCAGCTAAAGTCACTACCCACTAAATTATCACCCAAGTAATAAACAACTCCAGCAAAATTACACAAAGAATTCTCTCACGGAACAAAACCACACTTTTGTTCCCTGAATAACAACACTGTTCTTAGCTAAAATTCATCAAAACTACACAGACTTAAGTAATAAATATTGGAGTAGATGAAACCCTTGACCCCCTCTCAGGTAGAGAACAAAGCCAGCATCCACAGCAGCCACAAGTTGAGAACAGGTGAGATAATTGGAGGAGCACACCTGTGTCGACAAAGATCAAAGACTTACCTACGAACACATAAACAATGGAGTTACAGGTCTTCAGTCTTTGTTAGAAAGTCACACCAGCATTGCTGAGGAAGAGAAAACAAAGACGAAATCTTTAGTAATCTCTGGGACAAAATAAACATGTAAGAATAGAGTGTCTTACCTCGTAGAAACTAAAGTCTTCCTAATAACCAGGCTATTGTTTTGTTTCTATACTCCTATTTAACCATTGTAGAATTGTAAAAAATCTTATCTCTTTCAATTAGTGAAATGAAATACTTATGTACTTAAATAAATGTCAAAATTTTGAAAGTTTTCCAAAAATGTTTACACAAAATTAACAGTGAAACCTAGCACTTAGAAAGGAGATATCATAAGGAGAAAAAATTCATATTGCAAAACAATGGTGACAAAATTCGGGGCGTATATCTCTTCATCAGACACTCCAAAACATGTGTTAAGTTGTGAGAGGCGGGAGTGCGAAAACGGTGTTCAGAAAAATAGAAGTAAAACAAGTGAGGGAACTATTCAGTGTTTTCAGAAATAATGGCGGAGTGATACTTCAGTGGTTTATCAGTGTGTAGTGATATTTCAGTGGTTTATCAGTGTATAGTAATACTTCAGTGGTTTATCAGTGTATAGTGATACTTCAGTGGTTTATCAGTGTATAGTAATACTTCAGTGATTTATCAGTGTATGGTGATACTTCAGTGGTTTATCAGTGTGTAGTGATACTTCAGTGGTTTATCAGTGTAGTAATACTTCAGTGGTTTATTAGTGTGAAGTGATACGTCAGTGGTTTATCAGTGTAGTGATACTTCAGTGGTTTATCAGTGTATAGTGATACTTAAGTGGTTTATCAGTGTATAGTGATACTTCAGTGGTTGATCAGTGTATAGTGATGCTTCAGTGGTTTATCAGTGTATAGTAATTCTTCAGTGGTTTATCAGTGTATAGTAATACTTCAGTGGTTTATCAGCGTATAGTGACACTTCCGTGGTTTATCAGTGTGTAGTAATACTTCAGTGGTTCTTCAGTGTATAGTAATACTTCAGTGGTTCTTCAGTGTATAGTAATACTTCAGTGGTTCTTCAGTGTATAGTAATACTTCTGTGGTTTATCAGTGTGTAGTAATACTTCAGTGGTTTATCAGCGTATAGTGACACTTCCGTGGTTTATCAGTGTGTAGTGATATTTCAGTGGTTTATCAGTGTGTAGTGATACTTCAGAGGTTTATCAGTGTAGTAATACTTCAGTGGTTTATAAGTGTGAAGTGATACGTCAGTGGTTTATCGGTGTATAGTGACACTTCAGTGGTTTATCAGTGTATAGTGATACTTCAGTGGTTTATCAGTGTATAGTGATACTTTAGTGGTTTATCAGTGTATAGTGATACTTCAGTGGTTTATCAGTGTGTAGTGATACTTCAGTGGTTTATCAGTGTAGTAATACTTCAGTGGTTTATAAGTGTGAAGTGATACGTCAGTGGTTTATCAGTGTATAGTGACACTTCAGTGGTTTATCAGTGTATAGTGATACTTCAGTGTTGTATCAGCGTGTAGTGATACTTCACTGGTTTATCAGTGTATTGATACTTCAGTGGGTTTATCAGTGTATGGTGATACCTCAGTGGTTTATCAGAGTATAGTGATACTTCAGGGGTTTATCAGTGTATTGATACTTCAGTGGGTTATCAGTGTAGTAAGACTTCAGTGGTTTATCGGTGTATAGTGACACTTCAGAGGTTTATCAGTGTAGAGATACTTCAGTGGTTTACCAGTGTATAGTAATTCTTCAGTGGTCTATCAGTGTATGCTGATACTTCAGTGGTTTATCAGTGTATAGTGATGCTTCAGTGGTTTATCAGTGTATAATGATACTTCAGTGGTTTATCAGTGTATAGTGATACTTCAGTGGTTTTTCAGTGTATAGTAATACTTCAGTGGTTTATCAGTGTATAGTAATACTTCAGTGGTTTATCAGTGTAGTAATACTTCAGTGGTTTATCAGTGTATAGTGACACTTCAGTGGTTTCTCAGTGTTTACTCGGAGTATTCAGTGAATTTTCGGTCTATAACACCTATAATGCCCAATGCGACACTTGTTTAGCCTATCATTATATTGACATAGGACCGGCTCTCTGTGTACAAATCTCTTATAAATCCATTGTTTGATTGGTCAGGGATGTGTCCTAATGGTCCTGTTGTTTGATTGGTCAGTGAGGTGTAAGTGACCAGTGGTCAGTGTTACGTAATGTTTGTAGCGGGAGGAGAATTCGTCTTTGGTTTACCAGTGGACACAGGCGGTGTTGTTCTACAGTATCAGAACTGTGTACACATCCCTCTTCAGTCAGGTTAAAGTTTGTTTACCCTACACACTTCACCTATACAACGCCACTAACCAATGTGTTTACAGTTATTAGGAGACAATGGTTTTACTGTCTCTCAGACTTTGGTGACAAAACTTTACATCTGGAGTACAATAGTCACAGGGGT